TATTGTGCTCTATGTGAAATTCTAAATTAGTCCCTCTTTTCCCTTCCACACTCTACATCAGGAATCCTCCCTCCATGCTAGAACTAACATGGGAAAAGGAATAATAGACAAATAGAAGACGGATAATAGCCAAAGCAAAAGCATTTCCAAGGAGGGTATTCCTAGAAAACACTCACCGATTATCTTCCCTCTCTTTGCTAAAAGTCAGAAAAGCCATTTACAGATCCATGGATTTAGAATAAAGAGGGACAAATTTCAATCATTAGACAAGTGTGTTTCTGAAAAACCTACACACTCTCCTTTGAATGTTATCAGTCATTCTAGAATGTCTAATAGTTATACATTTATAGGTGTACATCATACAACATCTGGTCACCTTGAAAATTGGTAAGATCACCCAGGCTGATCTAGACTATTTGATGAGTGTGCCACTGCCAGAACATTATAATAATTGCAAGTATTTATACATAGACTAGAGACATTACACAAAGCATAAAATCTAAGTCAAACCCTCAAACCAGACAACTTAAACAGATTCTAGGAAATCAGCCTCAAACCAGTTCAATAACCATCTTAAATATTTTTGGCATTTTATATTGACTTATGTTCTATTTTTTTAAGCATGGAGTGTATATTAATTTAAAAAAATTGTTATTCCTTACCCATTAATTCTCATTTCATAAGCTAAATATGATCCTTTATCCAACTCAATGTACCTAGTAAAAAATGAAAAATGATATCCACACATCAAATTCCAAATAATTGTTTCTTAGTCAAATAAATTATTCTTATATGAAGTGTAATAACTTTGAGAGTTTTTGGAGTCTACTAAATTTGCTGAGCAAGGTTTGCTTTTTATCAAGAACATGTGAAAGAGAGAAAATTCTAGCGAGTTTGATTTTGTGCAATAATAAAATATTCACTAAAAAGATATCAAAGACACTCTAGAGAGTCCAAAAAACTGAAACTTTAATTAGCTCTTAGCAGCCAAGTGGACAAATAAAAACATTATTGGCTTCCCAAACGAAGCCTATATACAAAGATGTCTTGTTATTATTAAATTTCTTTTTACATCATTCATATCATATTCTTATGTAAACTCTATTAAAAACAAACAAGCATTTAAAATTCACTTCCTTTGACAAGCATGCATACACAAGCACACATATATAAATGTAATATATGTTAGTTTCCTCTGACATACTGATTCATGGTTCTTTGAAAGCTCAGCTTGCTTCCTTTGACTTCATGAGTTCTTCCAACCGACAATTATTCTATCCTTTGATTCACATACCTTGGAATTCTTTGATTTCTTTGAGAAAAGATGAATCTTCCGCAGCTCCAGAAATTCTTTTTCATTGAATTTACATGATCTCCATTTATTTATCTAAAATTATCATTGAATCATTTTCAACAAAACAACTAGTGTTTTAATTTACATGATCTCCATTTATTAATTAATTTGCTTCCAATTGGGAATCTTAGTTATTTCTCCAACCTAATATATGTTGCCATAATTTTGTTTACCTTGTCTATAGATGAGTCAGCAACAAAATGTTGCCATAATTTTGTTTACCTTGTCTATATAGTTTATCAAGATTACTTTTCTAAAACGCCTACATATCCTCCCAATTTATTTAGGAGGAGGTTCCGAATGAGTCGATGTCTTTTTCTTCGTATTTTATCTATGGTGGAAGCATATGATCCTTATTTTGTCCAGAAGGAAGATGCTGTTGGAATTCTTGGTCTATCTTCCTTTAAAAAGATGACAGCTGCTATGAGGATGCTCGCTTATGGAGTAGCGGCCGATTCTGTAGATGATTATGTGAGGATTGGAGAAAGCACTGCAATAGAAAGTTTACAAAGGTTTGTTGAGGTAGTGGTTGCAAATTTTTCAGATGTGTACTTGAGGACACCAAACAAAGATGACATTGCTAAATTACTAGAGGTGGGAAAAAATCGTGGGTTTCCTGGAATGTTGGTGTAATGACCCGACCCTCGCATGTGTTTCTAGTACATTTTCTGTAATAACCCGACCCTCATATCTGTTTCTGGTATATTTTTCGGTCCTTTATTCTATGCGTTTACTTGCTTTTTGTGAAATTTCATGTGAAATGAGGTCTAATTAAATAAAACTTATGAAAAGTGATTCATATCTGTTCACTAAGGAAGTATCTGTCACAATTAAGAAGTTGGAATCAGAAATTGGAAGTCTTAGGAACTTAATTTTCTGAAATTGATTCAACATTTAGAATCTGCATGATTTTTAAGCTATAATGGGATTTTCTGTAGAATTTCAATTTGGGATGCTTAAACGAATAAATTTTGTCTTATTCACCCTTACATAAATATCTCTATATATATCAAAGTTTTTTGAACATTTTGACTTAGCCTCAATGAAAATATCCCCTGGAGGAAAGAGTAGAGAGGGGTTTGAGAAGGAGAGAGTCAAGATCATCAAGGGGGTGAAGCTTAAAGTAAGTCCAATTCTCCTAATTCAATCCTTTCTTTTTTATTTGGGGAGAGAATTTCTTTATATTGTGTAACCTAGAGCTGTAATGGAGGTTTGGATGTAGGTGTTGATCTATTGGTAAAGAGAATATTACTCCTTGATTATTCTAACCAATTTGTGCCATCTAGAGAGGAATCTACCACTTGTTCCTTGAATTGCCATATTGGAACTCACTTGTGTATAAATATGGCTATATATGTGTATTGTGTATGTAAGAATGGTGGTGTGTAATTGAAGAAGATCAAATGCATGTTCAAATGGTTATGTGTTTGTACCCCTATTTACATGATTTATGCACCATATTTTAGTGTTTAAAGGATCTATTTTGGACCTTAATGATGATCACCAAACTTGGGATTGTGTATGAAATTCAGACTGCCAAACAGGGGCTAGACCGCACGTGCAGATGTCGTGGCCGCACGTACAGAAAAGAGGAAAAAAACTGGGAGAGCATACTGCTTTTGGCCGCTCGAGCGGTGGAGGGGGACCGCACGTGCGGTACATGTCCGCACGAGCGGAGAGGATGGCCACACGTGCGGCCCAGGTCGAGAACCTTGTTCGCTCTGTTTTACGTGCTTAACCCTCAGCTATTTTTGGACTTTATGTTTGATGTCTTTTTGATGGTTGTAAATGCAATTGAAGTGTAATGACTCAAGAAATGGTTTAATCGGGAAAAAGGAATTAATGTGTGTTATCTATGTGTGTAGGACACACTACGGGAGGAACCATCGCTCCGCAACAACACTGTGAGTAATAGTAGTAACGAAGTACCTTTATTATCGTTAATAATTATTGTTACGAACGTTATGTTCATCGCAAGAAATTATGTTAATATGTGTGCTACTCGGGAAACAATGTGAACTATGAACCTATGGAAACATCGAAAGTCTTGTGAACTGTGAATTTATGAGGCTGAGGGCCGACTTGTGAATTTATGAGGCCGAGGGCCGATTTGTGAATTTATGAGGCCAAGGGCCAATGTGTGAATTTGTGAATCTGTAACTCTGTTAGGCCGAGGGCCAATTTGAGAAGTTATGAATCTATTGGGCCGAGGGCCAATGTGTGAATTTGTGAATTTGTGAACCTATTAGGCCGAGGGCCAAGCTATGAAATACGTTGTACTTATTAATAATTATGTTTATTCTGGAATAATGATTTTAGTGTAACTGTGAAAGCATACCGTTTTGCTACTAATGGGCCTGAGGCCGATCAGTTATAAATCATCGGAGTATGAATATTTCTGAGGGATCAAAATAAGTTGATAAGCTATGTGCATCCGTATGAGTCTGAAATAGTTCTGTTGTGTTACATATGGACCCGAGGTCATTCAGAACCTACGATATGAATGCAAAGGTTTAACGTTATTATATGCTCTCTGTAATAGTATGAGTCTTATCCTGCTATATACAAGATAACTGTGTTAATCGGTAACTAAGTCATGAGAAGTTTATGTGCACTATTCCATAATGGAATTCTTAAGGAACTAAGGTTATTCTGTTTTTGTTTATCCGTTTTGGTTATACTACGTTATGACATAATATGCATTGTTCGGTCTTTATGACCTAATGATTTCTGGTATGGAACAAAGTGCTGTACGGAACTAAGTGCTACACTTTGGTGGGAGCCACCTCTAGAATCCGTACGAGCCACCTCTTGAGTCCATACATATTTATTCTGGGCCAATAGGCCGTTCTGTTATTTCTGGGCCGATAGGTTGTTCTGTCATTTCTGGGCCGATGGCCGTTCTGTGTATTACAGGGCTTAATGCCATTCTGATAAGGGCTTAATGCCGTTCTGTTTAGGGACCAATGTGTAAATGTATGAATCCACCAGGCCAAGGGCTAATCTGTGATGTTGTGAACCAACGAGGCTGTTCTGAATATTAGTACAGAATCAGATTAACTACCTGTCTTTTACATTATATATATACATTGCTTTGCATTGTAGTTCTAGTTGAACATTGGGTTATCTAAGTACTATTATTCACTGAGATTGTATCACTCTGTATTTTGTCTGATTCTGTAGGTAGTAAATCTAGAGGTCAGCCATAACCCTCGATGCTCATCTTCCTTTGACAACCTCTGTGTGTCCAAGCTTTTGGGTGAAGTCTACCCGTTTTTGTGAAGTTGCCAAGTTTTGGCTTATTCTTTGTTTGCCTATTATACGTTGAAGTTTCCAATGTTTTTGTTATATGCCCCGAACAAGGGGCGGGGTTGTATATGCGTATGTAAATATTTACCATCTGATTCACTGTTTGTGATCCTGGCATGATAGTGGTCGCTCAATAGATGTAGTTTCTTTTTATTTTATGTTATTTTATGATATTTAATGCTTCCGTTCAGGCCCCATATGTATGTACATCAGATTTAATGTCTGTTTCCGATTAGGTCATGCCCAAACTTTTAGGGGTGAGTTTGGGGCGTGACAGTTGGGGAGCATTGACTGTATGCATTGGAAGTGGAAGAATTGTCCTACTGCATGGAAAGGTATGTATTGTGGTCACATCCGCGAACCAACTATTATTTTAGAAGCGGTGGCTTCCTATGATCTATGGATATGGCATGCATATTTTGGATTACCTGGATCTCATAACGACATAAATGTGCTAGAACGTTCTTCTGTATTCTCTCTCTTTGCTGAAGGGCGTGCTCCCCAAGTTGAGTACTCAATCAATGGAAATGACTATACAATGGGATATTATCTCGCTGATGGTATATATCCTCAATGGTCAACATTCGTTAAAACAATCCCATCTCCACGAGGCAATAAGCAAATACATTTTGCTAAAGCTCAAGAGTCAGCAAGAAAGGATGTCGAACGAGCATTTGGGGTGCTCCAAGCACGTTTCGCAATTGTGCGAGGACCTGCATGTTTTTGGAAAGTTGAAACCATTAAAGTTATTATGAAGGCATGTATAATATTGCATAACATGATTGTTGAAGATGAGCGAAATGAACAAAATATAGACTGTAATTATGATGCAATCGAAGAAAGTCTCCCTCTAGCAGTGTCACATGAGCGTACACCCGAACTTTATGAATTCATTCAAAATCATCATCACATCAGAGATAGACAAACTCATTCTCAACTCCAAGCAGACCTAGTTGAGCATTTGTGGCATCTACATGGCGATTTGTAACAACTTGAATTAGAAATAGTTTATTTATTTTGAAGTTTATTCCTAACTTTGCTATTTATGCTTTTTTTTTTTTTTATTCATTGACCTTTGTAAGGTTTTTGATAAGTTATTTTGTGTTCTTTCAGTTCTTAATTTAATTTGATAAATTACAATTATTGAAGAACTTCCTTTGTATTGTTATTTTTTTAAACAAATTCTTTATTGTTTTCTTTTATTCTTCCCCTCCCCTCCCCTTCAAGATGGTTCCACAAAATTCATATGTTGGTATATATTCACGTACTATAAGTTTTATAAAAAAAATTAACTATTACTTAACATTATTTTTTATAATATTTTTAAAACTAATATTAAAAAATATTATTTTTAAAAATATTATCGCAAATGTCACATTGGCAACCATATTAGCGTTTGGTGCGTATGTGGCATTTTATGAAAAAGATAGTAATATATATAGCATTTTTTGTTTTGAAAATTGGTTTAGTTAGTTTGAATGACTAGTTAAAATAAAGAGTATGATTGGAACATACAATAGCTAAACTAATTAGGTAAAATAAAGAGTGTCCTTTTTTTGTTCTTTAGCTAGTGAAAAATAAAGAGTATGGTTGAAGTTGCTCTTACTCACCAGTCCAGAGCAAGGAGAAAGTTGTACGTTTATCTAGTAGTTTCTGATCATGCCATGAGTGCAGTTCTCATTAGGGAACTAGAGAAACAATAATCCCTCGTGTTCTATGTAAGTAAAACCTTTCTTGATGCAGAAAGAAGGCATTTGCCCCTTGAAAAGCTCGTTTTGGCACTCATGTTCACTTTTAAGAAATTAATGCATTATTTCCTAGCTCATTCCATCATTGTTTACACCGAGTACACCCTCTTAAGAAGATTCTTCACAAACTTGATCTATCAGGAAAAATCTCTAAATGGGCAGTTGAGCTCGGCCAGTACAACATACAATTTCAACCAAGAATTACCGTCAAAAGACATGTACTGGAAAATTTCATGGAAGAATTTTTGCCTAAACAAGAAAGATGGTATAAAAATTCAAGGCCAACCTAACCCTAAACATCAGCCAAGTACACCGTGGACCTTGAGATGTGATGGAGCCACAAATAGTGAAGGATCAGGCATTGGGTTCGTTTTGTCCACTCTTGGTGGAGAGACCTTGGAATGTTCAGCTCGATTGAGTTTTCGGGAATCAAAAATGAAAACAGTCTCACAACCATGAGGACTTTCGAGGTGGAGTCCATCCAGGTATTTTGCAATTCTCATCTTGTTACAAAGCAAATGATTGGAGAGTATCTTGCTCGTGATGAGAGAATGAAAAAATACATGGCCAATGCCAAGCCAGTAGCTGATCAGTTTCTCTCATTTGAAATATAACAAATAGGGCGGGATCAAAACAGTCACACAGCCGCATTTGCTAGCTTAGCCTCTGCCATCGATTCAACCACTAACTGAAGGATTGCGATTGACATTATTGGAGCACCTAGCATTGCAGGAGAAGTTGAGATTCTAAACATCCAACCAAGGAAAGAAGGATTAGCCCTATTCCAGCATACCTATCTGAGAGCATAATGCTCGAAAATAAGAAGGAGGTGCATCGGCTACGACAACAGGCCATGCGCTTCTGGTTAAACAAGGAAAATAAATTGTTTAGGAGATCATATGTGGGTCCTTACCTCATAAGTGTTTATCTCGATAAGGTAGAAGGATTGTTATAGGAGATCCATGAATGGTCTTGTGGAGTACATGTAGGGGGGCAAGTCTCTAGCACATTGGGCCTTCACCCAAAGGTATTGGTGGCCTTATATTCAGAAGGATGCCCAACTATTTGTTCAGAAATGTGAAGCATGTAAAAGATATAGACTAATCATCTGACAGTCATTTGAATAGCTTAACCCCATAGCGAGTCCTTGGCTATTCGTACAATGGGCGTTAAATCTGGTTGGACTAACGCCGAGAGCACCTGGTAGTAAGAAGTGGTTGATTTTTGCCATAGATTATTTTACAAAATGGATCAAGGAAAAACCATTGCCTAATATCAACGACATGGACATCAGGAGGTTCATATGAAGGAACATTATCACCAGATTCGATATTCTGCGGGCCCCCATATCTGACAATGGCAAGCAATTTGATTGTGGCCAATTCCGGAAGGTATGTGAGCAATATGGGATCAAAGCTTATTATTCCACTTCGGCTTACCCACAAAGCAATAGGCAAGCAGAGGCATCTAACAAAACTATCCTGAACCATGTAAAAAGCAATTGGAAAATGAAAAGGGAAGATGGATCGAAGAACTCCCAACAGTATTATGGCTTGTAGAATTACCCTGAGGCGATAAACAGGTGAGACCTCATTTGGCCTAGCATATGGCATAGAAGTCGTCATCCTTCTTGAAGCTGAATTTCATACGGGAAGGGTCAATCTGGTCGAAAAGGGAGTGAACGAAGACCTGATCCTAAAGGAGTTAGACTTATCTGAAGAAAAAAATGGAACGAGCTTCTCTCTACCTAATATAGTATTAATAAGAGATAACTCGGTCCTATGACAAAAGAGTTCAGCAATGATGGTATTTGATCGGTGATCTAGTTTTGAAGAAAGTTTTGCCAAACAATCAAAAGGCAACCAATGGAAAACTTGGACCAAATTGGAATGGGCCTTATCAGATTACTGATCTCGCTGGAAAGGGAGCCAATGAACTCGCTGATCTTTAAGGGAATGTTCTCTCCAGGACATGGAATGCTATGCACTAGAAGAAGTACTATCACTAACCTTAGTATAATGAATAAATACATGGTTAAATTAAGTTGTTCAAAAGAGAAGTCTTCTTCATTTTATTATAGAATAATTTACAAAGTTGTAAGGTCAACTGCCCACAAAAACAAACAGAGTGCTCGATTAAAAAAAAAGGAAGAGAATTATAATCTTCTAGCTCTGCTGGAATAGAAACATTAGGTTTGGGCAAAAGGACTTGGTCATACATCGAAGAAGATTTAGCTACTCTGGCCTACTTCAGTGCCGCCCTCCAGCCGTCTCTAAAGAAGACATTCTCTAGCTTATTCAATTGATCAACATAATGGGCGTCGGCCTCCCTCTAACTGACTTCAGAAGCCTCTTTCACCTCAGTTGCACGTTGAGCCTTCACTTCCTCTAAGGTAATTTTGAGGGCTTTATGTTCCTCTCTAAGTCGGTTGAGTTGTAGGGTCGCGACTTCAAAATTCTCTACAACTATTATTTTTCCAGACTCGGCTGCAACTACCCTCTCATCGACTTGAGCAAGATCTTCTCTAATTTGTTTCTTCTCTTCTTAGTGATAGTCTCTTTCCTGGTCAATCGAGCGCTAGCTTCCAAAAACTAGTTCGCTGCCTAGATTACCATAATTACAAGTTTAGTGCAAAAGTTGAAGAACACGACTAATAATAATAAGGGAACAGACTTACCATAACCCTGTTTTGAATTCCCTAACTAAAGATTTGTTGGTCGAATTACCCTTCGAAATGACGAATGTCCTCAGAGATGCACATACCTTGGGCCATCGCCAGTGCAACACCTACATCTGAGAAGACGGAGTCTCGAGTGTTTAATGGTCGATCCCTTATCATCGGCTAGAAGATGTATTCTATCAGACCCTCAATCGTGGCCTTCGAATGGTCATCGCCAGATGTTAGGCATCGACGACTTGAATGGGGTGCTTCTACGAGAGGACAATCTTCTGATCAGTGCTACCCTCCTTGATTTGCCTCTCGAATTGTTATAGGGGGAAAATTGGCTTGCTTAGTAACTGTTGGCTTTTTGGCTTTCGAAGGTTACTTTTGTAATTATGAGCATGCCAGTAAGGATCAATCAGTCCTTACAGAATTGTAATTGCCAAACAATTATTCAGACGATTATGTTATGGTTCTTTCGGCCTCAATGAAGAGGACTTTTACTGGTGGCTTACTAGTAATTTGACTTCAGAGAACTTGAGCATAAGAACAATTAAATAAACTGAAGCATTTTATTAGTATGAAAAACTTACAATGATCTTAGTTTCGTAGAGAATTACAGCAGCAATATACTCGAAAACTACTCCTACAAATGAAGTGCAGCGCAGGAACTTAAAGTACAGAAATATAAAGGACAGGAAATAACACTGGAATATGTAAAGTAATTCTTTTGATCTTTTCTTCCCCTCTTCTCTGAAGTCCTTCCTGCTATTTATACTTTCCGAAGATAACCATCGAATTGTACTTCAAACCGTCGAACTGCTCCTCCGTAGTCGCTGATCATGCTACCTTATAAGTAGCTCCACTACGCCTTCACTTGCAGTTAGGCTTCCCCCTTATATTCGAATTTGAATGTGAGCAACCGTTGAAGCCACGTCACTGTACGTCTCTTTGTTGATCCGCTACTACTCAGATCTTATAACAACCAATATTAATTGCCACGTGTATGATCAGGATCGAAGACCTACCTGGTCTCCCCATATTACCCTCACTTTGCCACGCGTCAGAATTTCTATGACCATATTGATTTTCTATATGTCATGTTTATTTTCTCTATGTTTGTTAATGTATGTGTGTGTGAAATTTCTCTACCTAGCACACACTTTCTATCCCCTGGTGCATTTGATTTTCACTAGCCACATTGCATTCCACTTGATAAATAGAATTTCTCTGACATGTTTCATTTTCTCTGGCCATCACATACTTGATGTTTGTCTGTGTGTGTAATTTATCTACGTCTTAGAACGTGCATGGGTTTTGCATCTACCCAGAAATGCAACTGTCACTCACCATCTGTATTAATACTCTCGTCTTGATCCTTAAGTACTTTCACTGTCTTATTATTTGAACAGACTGATACATTTCATGGCCAAATTAATTCTTTCCTCCAGTGATGAAGCATACGAAGAGTCATATGTCGATACTATTCCTCGTCGAAAGCATGCATTTATTAGCCACCTTTACCCACCTTTCTATATTCAGGTCATGGACGCCTTTGCAAATTACCGACCTTTGGAT